TGGAGTCAGAGGAAGAGAGAGCTGCAACACTGAATGTCCTTAACAAGCAAAACATGAGGACCTAACACAGGGAACATATCACAGGGAAGAAAACTTTGTTATAATGAGTTGATAAATAACCAGCACCTAGAGGCTGCACTTTGAGCTAGTGCATAAGGAAAACTAAAAATATTCTATTAGTAAGGGTCAAGAGCTTAAAGGAACTTCTAGCAGGTATTTGAACTTCTAGCAGGAGAACTATTTCATTAACTACACACTGACTTGTGATGGAAAGATTCCAAACCAACCTTGGAACCTATGGCACATCCTTTAAGTTCCCAAGCTTCCCAAATATAGACAGCATCCACATCAACCTAAAATTCATGAGTTGAGATGGCTCCTTCTTATCTTTGGGCCTTCTTGTGAATGGGGCCTGCCTGGACTGTTTGGTCAAGGAGTGTGGTGCTGAAGCTATAATTCTCTGAACTTGACTTTTGATGGGGCCTGGGGATGAGGAAGTGTGAAATAGAGGCAGGAATACCAAAGAGTCTGATTAGAGAGACTTTGAAAACCAAATAGGGACTCTGGGATTCCTCTAAGTGGCAGAAAGAAAGCCAAAACAGGTTTTTGAGTAAGGGAATAACATAAACCTTATTTTCAAACATCATTAGAATGAGGAAGGGCTAGAGAAAGGCAGATAGAATGGAGAAAACTATGTTAACTTGGACTGAGAGGAAGAAGTTCTGGGGACAAATGTTTGTTGCAATGGTTAAGATCCCACTTTGAACACCTGCCTGCCATAGCAGAATGCTTGCCAAGGACTGATTCCCAACTCCTCTTCTGATTCAGCTTCCTGCTAATGTGGCTGTACGGGAGCAGATGATGATTAAGTGATCATCTTAGGTGATCAGAGTTGGCCAGCCCCTAGGGGGGATTTCTACCCCTCCTTTTATATTTGGTTAGCTCTGCTATTTGCTTACCCCTTATGGTGCTTATTCATTGTATGCAGGTTGAGTTTCTCTAATTAAAAAACATGGACCCTGAATTGTGAAATTTTGTGAGCACTAATTTGACACTCAAAAAGTGGATTTTGAAGCATTTTGAATTTTGAGATTAGGAGTGCTCAACTGAACGCTGCGAAACTCTGAAATTTGAAACAGATCTGGTCACAAGCATTTTTGACAGGAATACTCAGCTGTTGTAATTTTTTATGGATAAGCTCCTCTCCCTTCGAAATTGCAAGCTATCCTAGACAGTTTCTGTTGGCCAATGCTCGGGCACATGCTGGTCATTCAAGCAATGCTTGGTGAATGAATGAAGGCACACATCCTTGACCATTTTCTGTGCAACCTTGTGTGTGTGTGTGACAATTTAAAGTTCCCTTACCTTTTGTTTTCTGTTCTTTATTGGCTCTATCAGCTTCTCTAATAATGACTCACCATTGTGACTCATTATCACCCTGGAGAAGGGGACCAAATTAAGTTTCCAGTTGTACCTGTATAAACTGCTCCTTCCTTTTGTTATCCTGATATTATCAGTTCCCAAAACAAGATTAAATCTTCAGTTTTTCTTAAAAGCAATTCTTGTCTATGCCTAAATTAGTGGTAGATTGGGAAGTACAGTTTATGGAGACAGGCAGAGTACATGAGAATTCCCATTGTGTTGTAGTCATGACTTTGTGTTGGTGAGCTCTGAACTCAGGCTGCCCAATCTGGACCTCATTTAGCATATCTGAAACATGGGCGCACCAACTGCATAATGTTATTGAGAGAATTATTAATATCTCTATAAATATTTACATTAAGCATTGATACATACTAGCTATTTTATTCCCCTTCTAGGTACTTACTTACTAAGTGCAAAGAGCCATGCAGTCTCTATCCTGCTGCTTTATTCCTCACAACAAACTTAGTGAGAATGGTTCTAATATTACCTCCATTGTCCCAGATAAGGAAACTGGGGGTCTGAGAGGTTAAGGAACTTGCTCAAGGTAACACAGATACTAAGTGCGGGAGAACAGAAATTAAAACCCAAGCAGTTAAACCTCGGGGTTTCTGCTATATTGACCAGCACAATGAAGCTAATGAAAAAGCAGTTCTCAAAAATCATAGCCATGTAATAATTCCGCAACATTCCTGGATTTTATTGTTTTACTAATTTAAATCTCTTACTTTCACCAAAAAAGAATCTTCCCCAATTTCCTGTGATGTAGAAGATCTTTATTTTTTTTTTGCCCTCTGTATCACAGTATAATAAAAGAGGAGGTCTCCTCCCAGGGAGATGAGGGAGAAGAAGAGTACAGGGTGATGTTTGCTTGCACAGTCGTCTCACTCCCCGCCTGCCATTGTTTATCATGGCTGTGTTTGACTTGGCATTTGTAGTTCCTGAGGTCCTCCAAAAGTAGACTACCAGTAAATATCATTTAAAGTCAAGTGCTTCCCTCATTTTCTCTATTTGTCTTGTGCATTTTAAGTCTCCCTTATAAATGTGTAATTTAATATACTGGACTGCAAAGGTATCAGTTTTTATCATCGGATCTTTTTCTGAGACACTTAAATTTCCCATGTACTAAGCAGCTATTACACAACTATCAGTAGTTTATATGTAAAGAGGACCAAGTTTATTAGCTGCTCACAGAGAAGTGTGCTGTTTCTGGTGCGTGTTCTGCTTTTTTATTCATGTTGAGGGTCCTACAAGTGATTATCATATATTATTAGATTCAACCAAGACCTGCAGAAATATGTGGGTATTTCAGACTTTATGGAGAACATGGAACTAAAGGATAAATTAATTTTGGTGCACAATTATTTGAAATCCACACAAAGATTTTTTTTCCAAACATGCATTTACCATGAACTTTGGAAAACCTCTGATTTCTACATGAAAGCAAGAACCAGGGCTGGTCTGTAAGTAAATAAGAAAATTAAAAAAATGCATCAAGGGACAATAGTGAAGTGGCTTAGAGTGGTAACTCTGAATGAGCAAAGGTGGTCAAAAATAGTATGAAACACTATTCTCTTATGCATTCCCATCAGAATCTTGTCTGCGGAAAATCTAAACTTGCAGAAAGTAGTTCCTGAATAAACAAAGCAAAACACTCTCAACCCTGAGTAGCATTTGTCTTTGGTGACAAGAGAATGATATATAGTTCATGAAGCAAAGTTCAAATTCCTCATTTTTGATGACAAGTGTACTCAAAGATTTTTTGGTTTGAAAGCGGCCCTCGACTTCAGCTGTGAGGCTCACTTCTTCAGCTTCCCAGTGTTTCATCTTTCCTTCCACCTTTCAGACATGTGGTAATTTATACTTTAGGGACCAACTATGTGGCAGCTGAGTAGAAAATGGCAATTACTACTTTTATTTCAGAACACAGAGAGGGCAGGACGACTTCCTCCAGAGGGGTTCCCGTTGCTGAAAATCCTGTATGAAAAAGGTGCCAGCTCTGGCCTCATTTACACTACCAAGTGGTGCTTAGGGATGGACGCATACCTGCTCCGCTGAGGTAGGCCTGGCAAATTATCATCAAGGAGTGCCATGCACTGCAGTCATTACGGCAGAGCCACAACTGTGTGGAGGAGTGAATGCCTAACTCCCACAGGCATGTTTAAATTCGTGCTAAGTGTTTATCACATGACCTGACATGAGCCAGGAGAGTCCGCAGTAACCATTAGCTTGCACTGCCAGTCATGACACATCGGCTTCCTCACCAAATCCCCAACACAGGTGACAAATTACAGGATGTAAAGCCCAGACCTTGTATGCCCAGGAAACCAAAAAGGAGACCTTCAGCTGTTAATTCCTTTCCATCCCTCCTGGGAACTCAAGGGTAGAAAAACTGGAATCCTATTCCTATCTACAGCCCCTACCTCCACCAATGCCTCCACGCCCATCCCACGATCCTTACAATGTAGGACGTCTTTTAAAAATTTCCTTTGCAATCACTGTATCCAGGGGAACCCTAAAGGCAAGTGCCCAGCTTGTTTGGGAGAGAAAGGGAAATGTGATTCTCTTTTCCAGGGTCACAATTAAAAATTCTTAACAGTATTTCTAAAACAACTTTTTTTTGTTAAGACACCGTGTACCTCCTAGTCATAATCCAGGTCTAGGTGAAAACTTTTCTCAAATGGTGATTCTGGGGCTCTAGCGGAGTATTTAAAAAGATTTAAGACACTGTTTTTCCTCCTCAGTAAAAAGGGACTGAACTGGAGGAATTATTTAAGATTCTTCCAGCTTTAAGATGCAGGCGTGCTGTAATTTCCAGATTCAAAGAACTACCCCCTGCAAATCTGAGCCAAGCACATGCTGCCTATACCACAGCAAGCCCTCAGGATAATAAGAACATGCATAGCAACACACTGCTTTCTACCCAGGCCTGTGCCTCCTTTACAAAGGCATACACAAAGTAGTCTAACCTACAGAGAGAGAAAAAAAATGATTGTTTTTCTCCTGTGTTTCTCCTTCAGAAAAAATACCCATCACTTTACAGTTGGCTACTTTTATTCTGCTTATTTTAAGTTGAATCATTTGCATTGCTGAGATTTGAAAGTGTTTCTGATAATCATCACTCTGCAGATTAACAAGCACCAAACTACCCCCCCACCCACACACTCAGCTCTTAAATTAATCATCGAAGAATTTCAACCCACTGCTCCTGCAGACAATTCTAAAGGCGAGGCTTTAATTTTCAGGTCGTAATTCACGTGGTACAACAGCATCTTTCACACTGAGCATCCACCAAGGCAAATACTGCACACACTACCCCAGAGACAGAATCCCATTCAACACCGGCTCCACTGCTGAGGTTGGCACTCTATAAAATTAGTATGAAAACCCAGACCTGTGCCCGCAGCCTTCACTCAACCAAAGAGCTGTGAGCTGCCTACATTTCACTCGGGGGACCAGGAAAGGGTGCAGATTCAAGCAGAGATCACAAGTCAGACAAAGAGGGGCACCCTCAAGGGCACCCCCAGCCACTTCACCCCAAGAAGAGCCGCGCAGAGTATAAAAGTCGCTCCACTTACCCAGCATAGCGGTTGTTATAAAGGTGGCTGTGCCCTGGTCGCAGAATCTTCAAAAAGAGCCAGCAAAGGGGCAGAAGAGCTGCTGTCCGGCTCCTGGACTTCCCAAGAAAGTTCATAGTGGCTCAGAGAGAGGACTTGCAAGTCGTGAAAGCACTCGCCCCACCCGAGGAGGCTGGAGGTGGCTGGCAGCACCCCCTGCACACCACACACGTTCTCTGGGAGGTGGGTGGAGGGAAGGCTCAGGAGGGAGCAAAATGTGACACTTCTTTCCAGCCACAAGAAAGAAAATAAAAGTTTAGGCAGCCGAGGAAGGGAAGTTGCTCTTAAGACTTGGTCTTGGGACAAGAAGCAGCAGCAGCGCAGCGCAGCCCAGCGCAGCCCAGCCCAGCCCAGCCCAGCCCAGCCCAGCCTAGCTCAGCAGCTGAGCCTGATTCTTAATCAGACTCCCCTGCAGGGGCCGGCCTCCCTGGTGCTGACTCATGGCAGGGGTGCGCTGGGTGCCGCTGGCTTTGGGTAACTTCTCTCCGGTTTTGCTTTCTTTGTTTTCCCAATTTGAGGCCCCTAACTTTTTTTTTTTTTTTTTTGGCTAATCTTTCTCCCCCTACTAACTTCTCCAGCAGGAAGACCCTATCCTAATGCAAACGATTTGTCTGAGGACAGGCTAAGCAAACAGGCACAGAATATTTCAGGCTTATGTTTTTGTTTTTGAAGATTTATTTGTAAGGCAAAGCAATAGAGACTGGGAAAGACAGAGATCCTCCATCTGCTGGTTCACTTCTCAAATAGCCCCAATAGCTGGGCCAGGCTGAAGCCAGGGATCAGGAACTCCATCCTGGTCTCCCACATGGATAGCAGGGACCCAAGCACTGGAGGCATCCTCTACTGCCTTCCCAGTCACATTGGTAGGAAACTGGGTTGAAAGTGGAGCAGCCAGGACTCAAACCAGTGCTCCAATATGGGATGCTGGCATCACAAGCAACAGCTAAACCCATGGTACCACATCACTGGCTCCAGGCCTATGTCTTGATCTTCCACGACAGATTTCTATATGGGTATTTCCAAAGTTGTTACTGAAAGTCTGGTCCTTGCCAATGACGCTAACTCAGAATAATAAGGATGAGGTTTGGAGATAAAGGAAAGAGAGAGTTTAATCACCTTCCTATAGACCAGGAGGGTCACAGAATGACATCTCAAGAGCCACTGTTCTTGGGTGAGGTTGGTTCCAGGTTTTTTAAGGGGTTGAGAAGGGAAGGCTGGGTTTGGGAAAACAGAACACAGCAGCACTCAGAGGTAGAAGGCAAAATAATTGGTCAAATTCTGAAACTAGTTACAGGGTTGGATAATGGGATGTTTTTTATTCACCTCCAATATCAGGCAGGGCTGGTGGTGTGGCATAGACGGTTAAGCCACTGCTTTGGACACCCACATCCCCTAGGAAAGTGCCAGTTGTAGTCCTGACTGCTCTGTATCCCATCCAGCTCCCTGCTAATGTGTCTGAGAGAGCAGCAGAGGATCCCTAAGTACTTCGATCCCTGAACCCCATGAGAGACTGGGATGGAGTTCTGGATTCCTGGCTTTGGCATGACCCAGACCTGGCTGTTCTGGCCATTTGGAGAGAGAACTATCAGATGGAAGATATCTTTGTGTGTATTTCCTTGCTTTGTGTGTGTGTGTGTGTGTGTGTGTCTATGTGTGTATGGGGGGGTGGCTATGCCTTTCAAATCAATAAACCTTATTTCTAAAAGAAAACCAAACATCCCAAAACCAAAACAAGAAAGTCAGGGTAGTTCCTTGAGAAACATGCTTGATCTTAGCATAGTTGGCATTTACCAGCACACTCTGCATGGGGGAGTAGTTGGAAAGCATTATTTGGCTGGAATCTGAAAGAGACAGTGTATGTAAGAGATTCAGGTGCTCCTTAACCATGATGAGGTTCACTTGCCTTAAAATCTCTAGCGAGCAAGGCTTATTGTTCCCTTAGTCTCCCACACCCATTACACCCTGTAATAGGATGCGTGAAGTACAGGGGAAGCTGTGGCTCCTGGGTGGGCACAGTCTACCATGGTTCCCCGCTCCTGACTGTGAGGGAGGAGGCAGCAGATTTATTAGACTGCACGGGGCTCTGGGTGCAGACATGTGGCTATTTCAGAGTTTCTTTTTTTAATACTTATTTATAAGTCAGAGTTACACAGAGAGAAGAGAAGCAGAGAGAGATCTTCCATCTGATGGTTCACTCCCCAGTTGGCCACAATGGACGGAGCTGTGCCAATCTGAAGCCAGGAGCTTCTTCCAGATCTCCTACACAGGGGTCCAAGGGCCAAGAGCCATCTTCTACTGCTTTCCCAGGCCATGGCAAAGAGTTGGATCGGAAGTGGAGCAGCCAGGTCTCGAACCGGCACCCATATGGGATGCCGGTGCTTCAGGCCACTGCACCACAGCACTAGCCCCAATTTTCAGTTTCTTTAGGGACTAGAGGACCTTCAAGTGCTTTACCACCGTGGCTTTGCATCTGGACCATTTAGGAGTGCAGTCCTTCACATCGGAATCCCTGGGGTAGGCTCAGTGGTTCTGAAAGCTCTTCTGATCCCAGTGTCCATGCTGGTCTGGAGCAGGGCTTCTCAAACTTAAGCTGCATCTGAAACACCTGGGGATCTTGAGACTCAATGCAGCTGGGGCCCGAGATTCTGCCTTAAATACAAGCTTCCAGGTGATGTTGGTACAACTGGTCCTTCAGCCACGCTTTGATTAGAAAGATTTAAAGATCTCTTTATTTATTTGAAAGTCAGTTACAGAGAGAGATGGAAAGACAGAGAGATCTTCCCTCTGCCTGTTTATTCCCCCATATAGCCTCAACGGCAAGGTTGGACCAAGCCAAAGCCAGGAGTCAGGAACTCCATCCAGGTCTCCCATGTGAGTAGTAGTGTTACCAAGGAAGCTAGGGTTCTTGTCTTCATGCAAGAAAGAATTCAGGCATGAGACAGAGAGCAGGGGAAAGCAACATAGCAAGGTTTATTAGGGTAGGGACATTCGTAAGAATGGATGGGCACCTCTCCAGACAGAACCTAAGAGAGAGTGCCCAGTTGCTCAGACTGGGGGAGAGCAGGGTTACATGGTTGAATGGAGAGATTACACCTGGGCAGGCCAGGCGGGCAGCTCAGCAGAGAGGCAGAGGGCTAAGCACACAGTCCAGTTGAGGCCGGGGTTTTTAAGGAGATGGGTCTTGCCTTCCACCTCTTCTCCTCCTGGAACAAAGGACTTTTTGGATGTAAACATGAAAAATTTCTTTCTTTCTTTTCCCCCTGAAGTTATCAGACAGGGGGAAGCCTGGCTGGCATCACCCGGCCTTAGAGGAGCCTTAGAGGAAGATGGTAGGGGCAGGGCGCTTGAAGTGCAGATACTGGGCTGCACCTGGAAGGTTATCAGGGTGACTTTGAGATGCGGATGCTGGACCTAGATGTCAACTCCTTAGGCCTTTGTCACACACACATAAGCTCATTTCTGACTTCCTACCTAACAGTAGGGGCCCAAACCTTTGGTCCATCCTCCGCTGTTCTTCCCAGGCCATTAGTGGGGAGCTGGATCAGAAGTAGAGCAGCTGAGACACAACCAGCACCCACATGCAATGGTGGCAACACAGGTGGAGGCTTTAACTGGTACACTACAACATGGACCCGTAAGATCTGTTCACTCTTCTCTCTAAAGACCAGGGGAAACAAACAAACAAACAAACCTTGGAGTAGTCCATTCCTTCTCAAATTAATGAGATGTGGGAGATGAGGAAGGATTTTAAAAATGTTATTTAATTTTGGCAGCCATTTGCTCCTACCCTACCATACCAGAAAACCCACTTTGCAGACTGAGCATGCTCTGTTAAAGAACAGCATTATCTAGGGTACCTCCTGTCATCCCTGGACCAAGTCTGGCAGAAGGAGTGAGCCAAAGTTTCTCTATCATGCTAACTCATTTGCTTTTCACATTTCCTGAAGAGTCATGGCCAAGAATTCCTATACTTGCCAATATTATAATAAGAGTACTTATTAGGAGAGAGAGCACCACATCTTTCCCATTTTCTCTACCTGGGCAGTTGAATCCTTTGATGGCTTCAATTTCAGGTTCATGATGGAGCAGAAGTGATTTTTATTTGAAACAGTTCTCCGAGATTGTCTTCAGTTCCTCCAGCATTGGTTTGGTTATCCTCTTCTCTGTGTCTCTCTCCCTGATACCTGGCACATCATCTGCTAAAGAGCTTTTTCCACTGAAGTCAGTTTTGCTTGTTTTCCTCACAAGGCTGCCTCCTATTGAACTCAGAATGCATCCCTTTTGTCTTTGTACACAAACAGCTCCTTCTGCCTCCTGGAGAGAACCCTTCCGTTACTGAAGGAATGAATTGTCTACACAGTCTGTTGAGTGAATGATGAAACTAGCAAGAGAGTCACTCAACAAACACTTGCTCTGTGGCTTCTGTCTCCAGAGAGAGGAAAGAACACCCAAGCAGCAGAGATGTCTTTGGAAAGGGGAGGTTCTCTGGGTCTCCTGGTCTTGTTTCCTTGTTCATTTATGTTGTTGTTTTCTTCCGGAGTTCATGGCCTAGTGCCTTGGTCTTTCTAAACTGGTGAGGCTGCTCTGCAAGCTTCCCACTGATTTTTGAAGCCTTTTTGACCAGGTCAGGAAAGCCTTTACCACAGCCAGTCAACTGTTGAAATGAGAGGTTACTGCGTAAATAAAACACTTCATCTCTTTGCATTTCATTATGTCAGCGCAATGTATAAATCTGTCATATTATATGACAGCATTAAACTAGGAATGTTCATCTCTGACTAGGGATTAAGCTCATCTCCAAATCATCCTGAAGGATCGGACCCAGGAAGCAGGATCAACAGAGGATTCTTTAGGCCTTAAAACCAAGGTCATCAGTTCCTGGACCATCAGAAATGCAAGGGAGCCTGAAGACATCCTCTCACCTTCCTAAAAATTTCAGATCAAAGCAAGGCTCTCAAACAATAGAAGCCTTCCTAGCAATCTTCCTCTGCTTTTTTAAGGACCAGGTTATCTGATCAAACTTCTCTGGGAGGAGATAAGCTCCCATAAAATGGGTGATAAATAGAGTCCATTTAGCAAGAGGGAGGAGAAGAGAATAGCTTTACAGATGGATTCAAAGATAAAAGTTCCAGTTTTAAGGCAATGAGAGAGTGAATTATTAAACCAGTTAGGGATTTAGAACTAGGGAGATGACAAATTCTATTTGTTGGCTATGCCTTTGTCATATTTTAGTGGAAGAATGAACTTTATTAAAAGAAATATTATCATGCAGAGAAAGAAAGGAAAATGCATTTGGAAAAGGAAAATGTCATCCTTGATTGGGGGCCATTGTTGTTCATGATTAGATAATTTT